TAAAGCCTGAACTTGCTCACACACCCTATCTGATTACTGCTGTGCATATTCGCTCAGCATATGTACTTGAGGCGCTACTTTAAAATGCTGATTCCTGCTATCTTTCTCTAGACTTATTGAATCTGAGTGTGTGGGTGTGAGGTTCATGAATCTGTATTTAAAAAAAAGTGATCCCTTGACATTTTGATGTAGTAAATCCAGCCTGGCCTTGGGGAGTCACTATTTTATGCAACTGATGTGTGAGCTTTGGTAGAACTAGAGTCCAAAGTGTATAATGGACAAAAGCGAGATGTGGATCTACAGCTGGACAAAGAAGAAGATGGAGCATAATCAGAACAATTTGAGGGAAAGCTGGCCAAGAACCAAGACAGATACAAACCCAGCCGCTCTTCGCTATGGGGTAATCACTGCTATATCACCGAGAAGGGATTGGTAGTTCACATGAGATTCGTACTCTAAACTATTATCAGATTATTCATAGATAGTATACTATTTTAAATCTTTATGTTAGTACTTACTTAAAACCATGTATTTGTGCATTACATTTTTCTCAACTCTTTTGTTTTTGTTTTCTCTATAAACTCCAGTGTTAATATATGCATATGTTTTTGCTATTGTTATAAAAATCTTCTGAAATGGGTGGATCTAATTGATAGTGTTTTTTTTTATCAACATCAAGACTTTCAGAAGAGCTAGATCAATGAAGTCCAGTGTTAATATATGCATATGTTTTTGCTGTTGTTATAAAAATCTTCTGAAATGGGTGGACCTAATTGATAGTTTTTTTAATCAACATCAAGACTTTCAGAAGAGCTAGATCAATGAAGCTCATTCCTTACACACTGGTCTCTAAGGGGGGGGATATTCCTTTTCTATGCTTTACCTTACACAGAGGCACACACACACCAACACACACACAACTTCACACAGAGAAGCACGCCCACAGACTCACACACAGAGGCACACACACACCAACACACACACACACACACACACACACACACACACACAACTTCACACAAAGAAGCACGCCCACAGACTCACACACACACACAGAGGCACACACACAACACACACAGATATACACAGCCCTTTACTAGAACCACTTACTTTCTATGAATAGAATAGAAAGATTACCAGGAAAGTTCTTACTTTGTAACAAGAGTAAAAATCACATTCAGTATCCTAGATAGCTCTCAATTATTATCTTTGCCATCAACTTCATGAAATTGATTCAGAAGCCTAATAGGTAGGTATGAGAGTTGGATTGAGAATGATCACTTCTGCCCAGCCCTTGAACTCCTAGATGCTTTTTTAATTTAGAAATTGCATATAGCCGTTTAAAATAATAACATGGCTTAGCAATCTTAAGTCTCTTTGAAACAATAACAAAACATAGGCAATTTTTCCAAATGTTGTCAGTCTCCTTGATACCTACTGAGGAGTAATGAAAGCCAAGACATGTGGCCCTACGTGCCAGAGGGATGTAATCGCCCTCTCATGGAGGCCTTGTGTCCTTTAAGACAATGCAGTGGGGCAGATGTGGTTTTTAATCCTGCATTTTTGAGCAAGGCATTGCAAAATTCGGAAGCTACAGACTATATTTGAATCCTCCAATTGTTTTAATTAAAAAAATCCTTTAAACTGCATTATGCCATACGCATAGTAAAAAGACTGAACTGCTTATAAGTCATTATCATTTATAAAGAGAAGAGAGTCATTTTCTAAATTTGGAACAGTAGAATATTTTAATTTTATTATTATGTCTACTATTTGTCTTAATAAGGCACAGTCCCAGGGGCCAAAGCTACTATTAAATCCAGCACCTCTCTCATCACTCTTATGATTCAGTGCCTTCTCAGAAAGGGAGTTCCTTTAAGTAAGTCTATAGTACTGAGAAGGATTAACATTGGCAAAGTACCAAGCAAACACTTTTCATTATTTCACTAACGCAAAAAATGTTCCTAATCCCCTCCCCCGCAACAAGCAATGTTTCAATCCTGTATTCACTGGACTTCTATTAGTGTTCAGCTCTCTGCCTGGTACAAGGGAGGTAGAAAAAAAAATGAAACAGACAAACAAACAAACAAAAACAAATCTAGTCCTTAATGGGATAGAAAGAGGAACCATTTATTAGGTGCTTCCTATGGGTCGAGTTCACTGCTCAGTGCTTTCAGCATATTGTGTCATTTTGTGGAATTTAGAGTTTATTTGGAGGGCAAAGGCATCCTTGTAAAAATCAGGAATCATAAATAGTACTTACATTTACAGACCTTGTCAGCCCCTTGCTCTTGTTTTAGTTTCTCACCACCTCAACTCCCTAGACCAGGGGTGGGCAAACTTTTTGACTCGAGGGCCACAATGGGTTCTTAAACTGGACCGGAGGGCCGGAACAAAAGCATGGATGGAGTGTTTGTGTGAACTAATATAAATTCAAAGTAAACATCATTACATAAAAGGGTACGGTCTTTTTTTTTTTAGTTTTATTCAGTTTATTTAGTTTTTTTTAGTTTGCCCACGGCTGCCCTAGACAGTTGGGTCTATTGAGGACTCTCCTTCATTAGCAAACTCCCCAACTCCTCTCTTGTAATTGCAGAACTGATCTTGCTTGGGGAAAGACACTCTAACTGACTCCTTGCTCCATTCCACCTTTCATCCCCACCCACATTCAGTAGGACATAGCATGAGTCAGCCACCCCAGATGTGAAATAGGGCAGAACATATATTTCTTGATATGTTTTTCTGATTTCTTTTTTTTTTTAATATGACAGTACTTAGCATTAATGAAATTTCAAAAAGCTGGATAACCTGTTTAGATCTTTGAAGCTATTCTTTATGAAATGATTGCTATTTGCTTATGTTGGTGACAGTGGTGGACATGAACACTGTGACTTGCAGGCTGCAAGTGTTATATTCCCTAAATACTTTAAGACATCCTGAGAGTTCAGGCCATGAAAATAAAGCAACTCTTCCTGCTCAGTCTTCTTATGACCATTTAAACAGTGGACTCTCCCAGGTTTCTGTCCTTGTCTAATTCTCTTCTTACACTACTTCACCTTTGAGTAATCTCATCTATTCCCTGGTTCCTATTACTTCCTATGGGATGATGCAAAGTCTTCAACTCCAGTCTGAGGCTTTTTCTTGACACTCAGACCCACACATACAATTATGTATTGGCCATCTCTCTACATAAAAGGATGGAAATGAAGAGATTGGGGAAAGTACATTCTACTTGCCTTCATCTCCCAGGTTAAAAAACATGCCAATATTAGAAAGGTGAAAAAGTCAAGAGTACATAAATTCACCTACATAATTTCTGAAGCATAAGACACAGCTTTATTTGTTATGACAGGATAAAAAAAGAAAAAAACAAGCAAAACACCGATCACTACAACATTCAGGCTATCTGTGCTCTTTGTGAAAGAGAGAAACATGGATGTGAGAGAGAAACATCACTGGGTTGCCTCCTGCATGTGCCCCACCTGGAGATCAAACCCACAACCTAGGTATGTGCTCACAACCTTTTGGTGTACCGGACGATGCTTCAACTAACTGAGCTACCCAGCAAGGGCCAAGGTATTTTGTATCTACATCGATATCCGCAAAGATCACAAACTCAACACAATGTATGTACTGTGTCTAAGATAGTAGTAGCTTGGATGTCATCCTCTCCTTTCCCGTTCCTTTACCTCACACATTTAGCTACCAAGTTCTATTCCTCCCACCTTTAAAGATCTCTCATATTTCTTTCTTGCCCTCCCCTCCCCTCACTATTAAAGACTACTGCCTTACTTCAAGTCCTCATCAATGTATTAACTGTTCTACTGCAATACCTTTCTAACTGATCTGCTTACGAATTCATCCCTATTGGTCCATTTTTATACGATAGACTAATAATTCAGTTTAGTATATTTCAATGACTCTCTCCTTTTCAAGCTAAAACCCGAACTACTAAGAATGACACAAAATGGACTGCAGGACCGGCCCTGCTATAAATGGAGAGCTCTGTTTCTGCCATGCCTCCCCTCACACACAAAATCAAGTCATTCCCACGCTTCTCGCGGGCCCATTAACATGACATGCCCTTGTTCATCAAACTGCTTTGGCTCAGACGGCATCATCGAACTGGATTGCATTACCTTGTCCCTGCACCAAGTCAGCTTTTACATGTCCTTCAAAACTCCTTTCAAATGTTCCTTCCTTCCTCTGGGAAGCCCTCCTTGACCAAGGCAATCTCAATGGGTTTCCCCTCCCACAACTTGTTAGAGTAGCATGCTGACCTCAATAAAAATAATAGTGCTAGTAGTCACAATAGTAAAAGTTAATAGTTACTGAGTGAAGGCTAGGTTCCATCCACCATGATAGCATGTTGATAAATTTTGCCTTGTGGTTTCTAATACTTTCTAGAGAATGTCTGTCAACTTGATCATTTCTCCCATGGGACTCTGAGCTCTAAAAAGGAAGGTTCTGTGCCTTCCTGAATGTTTATGTATCCTCAGAACCTAAGTCAGTGTCTTACTTACTAAATGACTGAATGTTCTGAAAGGCTGTGATTATGTTCTTCATGGAAAATGTCCAGATTCTTTCTACTGGAAACAATCACTCGGAGACTGAATTCCACGTTGACAGGGTTTGCATTCTGTCCTTGCTTACATTAAATATCTGCAGGTATATAACTGGGCTGCCCATCCTGCAAGCTGTGCAGTTAGTGAGTGGCTTTATCATCCTTTCTGACACTATCTCTCAGCAGCTGCCAAAATCTTCGGAATTCAAGTTTGGGGTTTTTTTGAGATTTTTGTTTTTATTACTCAGAAAAGCTTCATTTTAAAATTTATTTAGCTTTCTGACTCTGTGCTTGTGCCTTCAACACTTTCACAACAATTTTCTGCTCCTCAATAAGGAAAGCACGCTTGATCCTGTGACGGGCACATTTAGCACACATGGACCCACCATAGGCCCTCCTGATGTGTTTTTTTACTCAGAAAACTTCATTTTAAAATTTATTTAGCTTTCTGACTCTGTGCTTGTGCCTTCAACACTTTCACAACAATTTTCTGCTCCTCAATAAGGAAAGCACGCTTGATCCTGTGACGGGCACATTTAGCACACATGGACCCACCATAGGCCCTCCTGATGTGTTTTTTTGTTTTAGACAACCTCGTTAGAACTTCAGGCCTCACAGCAGGAACTCCTCGAAGTCGGCCAGGGCACACACCACATGCAGATTTTGGTGCTTTCCCCACCATCTTGATATAAAGGAAAACACTTCTATTACCAGGGGTTCGGGACAGTCTGGCTTTGTTAGAGGCTGTATTGGAGGCTGTATTGGAGGACAGCCTCCAGTGGCTCGTCAAATGCTGGACCATGGTGAATACCTAAACTGAAGTCATCGTCCCTGGAAGAGGAAAAGGAAAGCGCTTGCGAGTTCAAAGGTGCGGAATTCAAGTGTTAATGTCATTCAAATCTTCTCTTTCTCGTATCTACAAATTTAAGTATTAACACTATCTGAAGTAAGAAACACCATTTGGGCCCACAAAAGAATGACAAATTGGTTTTGATTTCTTTCCTTTAGAACATGGAATTTTAGTGCTCAAAGAGAGCAATGCAATCATGTCACCCACTCTCTATCCTCTCTCCTTCCCCTATTCCCTCCCCCCTCCCCCCTGACCTCTTCCTTTTTTAATGGAGGAGACTGAGGCCCAGAGAAGTATGAATGATTTGTTCAAGGTCACAGAGCAAGTTAGTAGCTACACTTAGATCACCTCTTAAGAATAAAGAAACAAGACAAAATTGCAATTTAACAACTTGAAGCAAGTATCCTACCATACTCTCCCCCCTTTTAAGATATACTTTGATATTGGCTAGTCTTTTTCGTGAAAGGGCTCTAGAGTAACATCCAAATGATCTTTTATTCCTTTGTTATATCAAGTTAAAGCTTTTATCTGAATGATTTAAGGATGGGCTGCAGCATACATAAATATATTCATTTTTATCACTGACACCAAAAACATGCCTCTCAAGTTCACAGGGAAAGAATGAGTTGAATCAGTTTTCTGAAGCATGTGACTGATTTCCAGTGAGCTAATGGATACCTGATGTAGTTATTCTAACCTAATATATTTTTTAATGCATCTTACTGCAGGCATATTTGGCTCAGAGCCACCACCTGATGTGCTACTTCTCTGTCTCTCAGCCAAGTCTATTTCTGTGCTTGATACATTGACATCAGAAAATTCCAGGGGGTTATTGGGAGATAAGAACTTCATACTTGGTAGAATTTTGACCATCTGTAAGGGGAAAAAATGTGATGCAAGCTTGGGTCTTAAATGTCCCTGCCATTCATGGTCAAAAGCTTTAAATACTTTAAAAATAGTACATTACAAACCTAGGATTCCTTGTGGCAAGTTTTCTACATCAATGTTAAATAGGTGGACATGGTTGGGTCTTTGCATTTCAGGAGGAGAATGTTTCTTTAGCAGGTGAAGCAGAATTGCAAAACTGCAGAAAGAGGTGAAAGATTTGGGCCGAAAGCTTCAGATGAAAAGCTTAAGGAAGGTCAATGATTTTACATCTTGTCTCCTTTGGCCCCAATCACCATCTAGCCTTCTCCTCTGACCCCCAGATGTGTGAATGGCTGGTGATGAACTAATGAGAAAGGAAGAGAGAACTGGTTACAAATGTTTTGATTGAGAAGATAGACTAATATAGAAAAACAGCTGAAAGACAAAAAGGTTTGTGGTGCTAGGCGATTCACATAAAAATAGCATATAATAAAGAGAAGGCTCAATCCTCTAAATTGAGTTTCAACTTGACCTACCCAAAATCAGGTCCAAAAGATGCCAAGTTTAGCTGGTCCCCATCTTTGAATTAAAATATATGGGGAATTTAAGGTATTAGCAAATAACAGATATTGAAATGATTATTCATCTTCAAGCCACCAGAATTATACTGAGATGGCGATGAGACCCGAAAAAGGAATACTTCGTTCACGTAACCAGCTCTATCTTTGCTGGGAGCCCTGGGGGAGAAGGCATTTGAAAGTCTACTGTTTGTTTCACTTGGGAAACCCTGGTACCGAGAAGTTGCATGAGGCTTAATGCTGTATGAAATGAGAAGCTAGAAAATGATATTTTTCAAAAACTGTTCCAAAGAGCAGGATAATCAGTCTTACTCTGAGTAATTTATTCCTCTTCTCATAATTGTTCTTTCTCTTTCTTTCCAAAAGTAGGTAAACAATTTCCCTTTGGGGTTACATCACCAATTTGAATAATGATACACAGTCCCTGTGTCTGCAAATATTGCTGGAAGCCTCAACACACAGAGTGAATCATAAACCTTTTTATATCAAAGTTCTGATAGATCTTTGGTGGGGCCAGGCTCTTGGCTACATGGCTTGACATTTCACTCCATCAACTCCCAGAGATGTGTTTGTTATTCCCTCTGCTTCTGACACATCATCAAGAATGACAGAAGGCTTCTTCAAATCAATTGATGGAAGGTTGAGAAGAAGAGAATTTCCATACAGGTAGGGCAAGATTAGGTTTACAGTTGTAAGTGAAACAGTTTATTCTTGTATTATTATTATTTGTTAATTATTGTATCATTTTCCATAAGAACAACTGTAAACCTACATTTTACCCCACCCTGTATAATTTCTGAATTATTCAATTGTGCAAGACAAGTAATTTAGTGTTTGGTGTATGTGGCAATTAGAAATGTCTTAGTTTTCATTAGTTCATCTCTGAAAGAGTCTTGCTGTGAGGAACTAGAAAGTTCCACTTAATGTTTACATGGAATAGGAACTATTACTAAGAGATAGTGAGGACGAAAGGGGCCTCATGCTAACCTGACAAGCTCAGGGAAGAACTGCATGGTGGTCTTGCAAACTCAGAGACCTAAGTAACCACAAAGGAGGGTCTGAAATTAAACTTTAATTAAAAGCAGTTATGGTGGGTAGTTACATCCTAGGCTGGTATCTTCACTGACAAGGTCAACCTTTACCTTAACTGAGGCTATCTGTCTTTTTGCATCTATGATAACATATCCTGGGTAACTCATAACTTCCCTTTTTCCGGACCCCTTGGGGCACAACCTAGGTATGCCTAGGCACCATGACAGATACCACAAATTCTTCCATTGTTATCATGTTAATTGTTGACTGTTGGTTATCCTGCACCCACCTAAGTATGTGTCTATCATTTTACTTTTTATCCAATCCCAGGGATTTCCGCCCCCCCCAACCTCCCCCCCCCACTTTGCTTTCTCCCACGTCTCTAATCTATCACCAATGGATTTCATGTAACACACCTATGTCCCCTCCTTTGATTGCAATGTATAAAAATAGATGAAAAATTGCCATTCTTTGGAGCATTATCCTAATCCATTGAGATACTGCTTCCTGACAATTATTGACAGTTTGGCTCAGATAAACTCAAAAATTCTTTACAATTTTGAATGTTTTTACGTTAACAATAGAAATGGAGATATTAAGCTTAATTTCACATGCTTGTAAAATATTCAAAAGCATGTGATAATACTGTTTAATTGTAGAGGTCAGTTCTAACACACAGTTATATGTTTCATAAGACCTCAGTTACAATCAATTTATTGCTAGACTAGAGGCCTGGTGCACAAAATTCATGCGCTGGGGGAGGGGGGTCGGGTGTCTCTCAGCCCAGCCTGCACCCTCTGCAATCTTGAACCCCTTGGGGCATGTCCAACTGCTGGTTTAGTCCCAATCCCACAGGCAGTCGGACATCCCTCTCACAATCCAGGACTGCTGGTCCCCAACTGCTCGCCTGCCTGCCTGCCTGATTGACCCTTAACCACTCCCCTGCCACCCTGATTGACGCCTAACTGCTCCCCTGCTGGCCCGAATGTCCCCAACTGTCCTCCCCTGCAGGCCCAGTCACCCCAACTGCCCTCCCCTGCCAGCCTGATTGCCCACAACTGCCCTCCCCTGCTGGCCTGATCGCCCACAGCTGCCCTCCCCTGCTGGCCACCTTGTGGCGGCCATCTTGTGAACACATGGGGGTAGCCATATTGTGTGAGGGTATGATGGTCAATTTGCATATTACCTCTTTATTATATAGGATATTCAAATGATAAGGCTAAACATATTAAACATGGGACAATTAAAAATGGTTTCTTGAAAAGAATGCCCTTTGGAATCCACATTAACCTAAGGGAATGAGCAATTAATAATAATAATGGTACTGAGCAACTTGGATTTTACTAATACATTTTTATAAATTCATCTAGTGAGAGGGGCACTTTTTTGGTTCATTTATTTTTGGTAACAGGTAAGAAGTAAAATAGTTGCATAGTTGTTGCATACATGACTACTTCCCAAAGGCATATATTCTTTCTAGTATTAGAGAATAGAGATAATGGCATTTCTTCTTCATCATAATTTATTGGCTACCTCAGAAAAACGTCCATTAGCTCTATTATGTTGAATAACATCTTAAAACAATTTGAGACAACTACTGTAACATTATAATCACATTATAACATCACATTAACTATGGAAGCATAGGATAAAATAGTCAAGAGATGTATACAATTTACATTTAGTCATATACAGAAAAGTGTTTAATTTCATGTAAGGTCACATCAGATTTCCTTTCCTATAAAGCCACATTTTCAGAAGCACAGTTTGAGTATTATAAAAATAAACAGAGAATAGGTTTTCAAGTTACCTATGCCCATTCATAATTGCCCTTGTTCATCAAGGTGACTGTTATACACCAGTTCCAGCATCGCACATTATGTCTTTCCATCTCTCCTCTCTTTGTAACTGAGGGTCTGGTGTTTATAGCAATACCAGTCCCTCAGAGGGGCCCTGTTCCTTTTTAGCTCTAACTCCGGACATGTGCTGCTTGAAATGTCCCTCTTTAACCTTGACTTCTCTCCCTTGCTAATTATTCAAGACTCAAAGTAGCATAATATATAAAGATTTGAACTTTGGGACCCTCCTCCTCCTTTCCTTAAAAGATTACAATTAAATGACTGTGTTTTTGCTTTGCTTCTCTGTTTTGTTTTGTCTCATTCTAGCCATTGTTTTAGAATACATGGAAAGAGAATTGAAGGGTCAAAATAATCTCATGGCTGTACTGAGTTAATCTATTCTCTGATTCAAATGGTAAGTATAAACTTAAATCTGTATTTTCCACTGAAAATTAGGTCAATTTTCACTCATTCATTTCCTGAGTTTCCATTATGTTTTTGATGCTGTGGAGTATGTGGATGAGAGAGATATTAAAGATGCAAGATCTATGGATGTTGGTGATTAATTGGATTTTGGAGGAGAGAGGATAAATACATTAAAAACATAGGTAGGACAGCTGTGCTAGGTGAAATATGG